GTTATGTTGGGTGGCTGGTGATCCGGGTGGGCGGGGTGCTTCCATGTGGAGGTGGAGGGGTCCCTCTGCGCTGACTGGCTAGGGCACAGCCGTAGACTCACTCCCACTCCACCTCTCCACCAACCCTCTCATTGTCAAACCACAGCGTGATGCCCGAGGCCCTGGAGAAGTGGCCCGTGGCGGTTCTGCAGAAGCTGCTGCCGCGGCACATGGAGATCATCCAGCGCATCAACGACGAGTGGCTGGCCTCCATCCGCGAGCACGTCGAGGCCAAGGTGGCCAAGGCCCCGGCCAGGCCGGCCCCCGCCGAGGAGGAGGCGGACGAGGCGGACGACGAGAGTGACACCACCGCCAGCGGCAAGAAGCCCGCCAAGAAGGCCCCCCTGGACCCGGTGGAGGAGGCGCTGAAGGAGTACAGCATCGTGCAGGAGAACCCCTGGAAGGCGGGGGAGATGCTGGTGAACATGGCCTACCTGGCGGTGGTGGGGTCCAAGGCCGTCAACGGCGTGGCGGCCATCCACTCAGAGATCATTAAGACCGACCTCTTCCCCCAGTTCGTGGAGGTGTTCCCCTCCAAGTTCCAGAACAAGACCAACGGCGTGACACTGCGCCGCTGGCTGGCATACTGCAACCCCGCGCTGTCGGCGCTGATCACCGAGGCGCTGGGCTCCGACGCCTGGGTCAAGGATGCTGGCCAGCTGGCGGGGCTGGAACCGCGCGCGGAGGATCCGGCCTTCCGCGCGCGCTGGCGCGAGGTGAAGACCACCGCCAAGGCCGCGCTGGCGGCGCGCATTGCCGAGACCACGGGGTACGAGGTGACCACCGACGCCATGTTCGACATCCAGGTCAAACGCATCCACGAGTACAAGCGCCAGCTGCTCAACGCCATCTCCCTCATCGTGCGGTACCAGGAGATCAAGGCCATGTCCCCGGAGGAGCGCAAGAAGGTGCACGGGGGGTCCGGGAGGGAGGGGGCGCGTCGGTGTGGCAGGGAAGATTTGATCGGTGACGTGCACGGCTGTGGCGCCCTGGAATGCCGTCGTGATGATGATCATGGTGTCGAGTGGGCCCCCGGGGGTCCATGGTCTGTGCTGAGGCCTGTGGCCGCAGGTTTGCCATGCACATGACCAGGTGTGTTGCCCTGCCCATTGCACATGCTGGCGATGGGACACCCCCCGCAGCACGAGGCTGTGATGGCGCCAGGAGACACACGGGATATCGCACAAAGATCTGCACCCATCTGTTCAATCCCGGTCAACAAACGCACACCCATCCAATGTGAAGGCAGCCCCTCTCCTTCCCCTCCCTCAGCCCCCTAACCCCTCCCCCCCCCCTTAACCCAGGTCGTCCCGCGCGTGTCTGTGTTCGGCGGCAAGGCCGCGTCCGCCTACTACATGGCCAAGAAGATCGTGAAGCTGGTGGGCGCCATTGGCGCAAAGGTGAATACCGACCCTGAGATCGGCGACCTGCTCAAGGTCATCTTCCTGCCCAACTACAACGTGAGCGAGGCGGAGGTCATCATCCCCGCCGCCGAGTTGAGCCAGCACATCTCCACCGGCGGGACTGAGGCGTCGGGCACCTCCAACATGAAGTTCGCGCTGAATGGCTGCCTCATCATCGGCACCATGGACGGCGCCAACATCGAGATCGGGGAAAACACGGGGCTGGAGAACCTGTTCATCTTCGGCGAGGCGGCGGAGGATGTGCCTCGCCTGCGCGCCGAGCGCAAGGACTTCACCGACTATGACCCGCGCTACACCAAGGCGCTGAAAGCAGTCAAGGACGGCGAGTTTGGCGACGCCGACTACTTTGAGGACCTGGTCGACTCCATCACTGACATGACC